AGTCCTGCTATTTTAGCCTCTTCCCATTGATAGAAACATTTTTATTTTCAAATTAGAAAAAAAGCTACTGATGTACTTCTGTTTCATTACACTTTCATTTTCAAATAATGAAGTTTTGCTCTATAATGAATGTTTCGTCTATTCCACACATTTAAATGCTTAAGTACAATCTCGTTTAAAAAGACATAAATAAATATTTTGCACTTACCTAAACTGCCATCAATGTACATGAATTTAAATGAAGAAAACAGTGAAAACATCCAAAATAAAGTTAAAAATCGACAAGTATGCAAGCTCTTAAGACAGAAGTATTAAAAAAAAGCTGAAGAAAGCAGGAAACAACGGTACAATGAAAAACAGAAAATAAGGTGAATGAATATACTGAACTTACTGGCTTTAAAATACCTTAAAATAGACTTTCAATGGTCATAAATACTATATTACAAATTTGAGTTGAAAATATTTAAGATTACTTTTTCTTTAAAAGAGACATAGTAAAAAAAAATCAGTTTTTTTTAATTCTTATTAAATTAGTTTACTAATGTGATAACATACCTCAGGAAGCATAGTAAAACATGAACAGAATAGTTCCATTTTCCAGGTTACTATCTTTACTTTTTGTGTGTAACCTTGTACTTCAGAAATACCCACAATAAGCTTCAAAATTTGTGGTTTTACATAGAGACAATGAGACAGGATGAAAGGTATTATACTCCTAAAAACTCCTCTGACCACCTGTGGTATTTAGGGACAACGGGGGGCCACCTTTCCAACCAGTAATCAAGTGTCAACTTTGATGCACAGTAAGGAAGAAAATACCTATCTAGGAACTCAAACTGAAGACCCAATTGCTGGCAACTCTCTGGAATATTCCACTAGAATCAAACCTCCAGAATTTCAATGGCGATAAACAAAATATCTCAAAAAAAGATGAGGACTAGTCTCAGAAGTGGACAGAGCGAGGAGATGACAGATCTTCAGATTCCTTTGAACACGCACCCAGAGTACGCCAGCAGGGTCTGAGAAATAAACTGTCCAGCTGGGAAGCAGGCAGGGTTGATCCCAGTCATGGAAATCATTGGGTAAAGTTAACAAGTGGTGAGCTTCTTTAAACATTTTTATATATAATATTTCAATAATAAAAACATGGCTATTCATACATAGGTTTTCAACTATATGTAGATTTACAAGTATATATAAATAATATATTTTCTAATTTTTTTTTAACTCCCCTGACTATGTCCCAGATAAGCTAGCAAAGTTACAGCAAACTAAATTATAGCCCTTGCTTCCCGATTTTTCTTTTACAAGACAAAGATGAGTAAAAGAGTGTACTTTGTATGATGTGCAATGCATCAAAAAGCAAAATAAGCACGTGGCATATTTGGTTTAGGGTTTTTTGGTTCTTTTGTTTTAAGAACATATACATTAGCGTGATCAAGGTTTTCCTAGGAATAGAGTTTAATTAATACAAAGAGGGGAAACATCATTTTAGATTATTTCTTAGCGTATTTTCTTTTACTATTCTACTTAGATACTGGTCATGAATCAAAGTAGAAATGAAGAGCAGGTGAAATAACATTGAGTAGCTACTTACAGTTTTGACTTCATGAATACATATACCTTACCTACTGATTATTTTATCAGTTCTGTTGATTTCAGCATCTAAGAGTTATTCATATTGCTACAGATACATAAAAATCATTTCAAGGAACAATTTTATATTCACAACTATGAGCCTCTCAGAGGAACTGTTCACTATCCTTTTTATCCTTTCTCTCCATCTCATTAATCAGAAGCAAACTCCTGTAGTATCAGGACAGGAACTAAACTTCAAAAGATCAAAAATTTACAATATGTTTTCAAAGAACACATTAAGCAAATTAAAATCACCTGGTTTTCTGTAAAAAAAAAAATTGATCAAACTCACCATTTATTTCCAACAAGAATATATAACTATCTCATGAATGAAAAACAGCTACTGTTCATTGCATGCAGTGATTCATTTTGTATAAATTATGTAGTATTAAACAGTGACATTTTTAAGTAGGGAAAAGAGGCATTACTTTGTGCAACTCGGTTTACAGTTTATCCTAAAAATGTTGCAGTATGTCTAATTCAGTTATGGCAATGTCATAAAAGCAGCATGTCAACTGATTAATATGTTTTCCTAGAACCAGCTAATCCAAAGGGGTAAGCTAGTTCTCCCCCTTTTTTTTGACAGGCAGGCAACAATCCTGGGAATGAATATGGCTGAATAATTTCTTGTGTCCTCCCAGTTCTTTCCACCTCATAGCCTTCTGTTCTCCACTGAAACCTTCTACACTAACTCTTCTATATAATACGTTCAAGCCAAGACTAGAGAGAATAACTCTCTACCTGGGGGCAGTAGGAGGAAGGAAAATCTCTGATCAAGAAATTGCAAATGGATGATTCCAAGATGAAGAACCACTTTAAATAGCTAAAAACATTTAGAGTACTTCCTGTCCCTATGTATGTAATCAATCCATATAGAGAATAATACTAATTGTGCTGTGAGAAAAATATGTCACAAAGAAAAAAGACTAGAAAGACAAGACAACTAACTTTGGGTTGTAATATCAAAGAACAGGTGCTCAAAGCATACATTTTGAAAAGTAAAATAATCTTCAAAAGAAAATCAGGAATGTTCAAGTCACTGTCCATAAATTTCTTCACGGGTCTATTTTTGCTTCTAAAAGGTTTAATTTTTGCCAATCTTTTGTTCAAACACATCCTACTTTTTCAGACTGCTTTTGCAATTTGCCAATTCTTTTTTTTCCATTTATAATCCTACTTTCCAGCATATTTTTAACCCTTCCCAGCTTGACATTATCTGGGTGCATAATACATATCCATCATTCAGAACATTGATGGAAGCCTCAAAAACATGACAGATCACTACCAGATCCTATTAGACATCTTTCTAATTTCACCACGAATCATTGATAATTACACTTTGATGCAGTCTTCCAATCATATGGGCATCTATATTATAGCAGGTTTTTTTCTCATGTTTCCTGCCAGCTTGCTAATGAAAATCTTCTGAGACAACATAAAGAGTAATACCAATTACTGTTTTTCCGTTACGCATAAAAAGCCTGTTTTCCTGTCATCCAAGAAAATCAGATTTGTTTGACATTATTCTTGACAAATCCATATTGAGTTAGTCTCTTTTTATTTCTTCCCCTATATTCCTTATATTTTAGAAATAGCTAATGATTTTTTAAGAGTACATATAATTAATGTAGTTTACAAATATTTTTTTCTTTGATTGTTCTTACAATATTTTTCCAGAAACCACGATAAAAATATAAAAATATCACTCATTTCTCTCTCCTTTTTTTTTTTTTTGGCAGGCAGCTAGATTTACCCTTCTCCAGTCTCTTCGGAGTTCCCAAAGTTGGCTATGAGACTAAGGGCCCCATTCAGGGTCAATTTCATCATGCACAGCCAAGCTGAAAACAAGTTTTAGTGTTTTTGTAAGAAAAGTCTCAGTTTTTAAGAAAGGAAGTTTCCTAAGTCAGTAACCCTCAGACACACAAGGATAGATCTATCACTTTTTAGTACAGATGTGATAGATAACATCACTTTTTTTAGATGCCACCAAAAACATTATCTTTAAAATATAGCTGTTAGATAATTTTAACTCAAATTAGTTGTTTGAAAGAATCAATAACCATGTGCATAAGCAAAACTGACAAAATAGCTGTCACAGACAGTTTGGACTTCCAAAGCCATTCCTGCAGAAAGGTTCTCCTCCAAATGCTTACAAGGAAACTAATTAGCAATTAGATAAGAGGGACGGTCCTTTCATACATAAATATTTGATTACAAAAGAGGAAATAACAGAAACACACAGTCAAGTCATAAAACCAACAGAAGGCCCCTGTGGAGATTTGCTGGAACCTGTGGCTGGGATTCACGCTTTCTGACATTTTTGATAATATTGGTTCTAACAGCATATAATAAATTAATTAATTCACTGTACTGAATTCCCTGATCAAGATCCAATCGGTTTCCCACTGAAGTAACTGGTATCAGGCTTGTTAGTTCCTTAGATATTTAGGTTCATGACATGCCTAAGAGGTGGAAAGTTTGGTGAGAAGCTCTGCTGATCACAAACTCAGAAGTAAATTAAAAATCTCAGTTGTTGCTGCCTGCCAGCAAAGAAGTTTAGATTGGGAATCTGGAAGCGAGAGAAACACAGGATTGTGTTTTTGTCTGCGGAAATTAACAGATGGTCTAAAAAGGAATAGCTTTAAAATAAGACCAGCAGCCAAAAAGCATGTGGAGACAGCAATATGAGAGTTTTTTTGATCTATTCTGTGCCACTGTTTTTTGAAATAGCATTCAGTCTCAAAGCTTGACCTTATAGCTTTATTCATCCAGACTAAAATAATCTTAACTTTGGGAAAAGAACTTCATGTTGAATAGAAGTATTTGAAATACGTATTTACAAGATGCTCTTTTTCTAATACACAGGTCTTTGAAACATTGCTGAAAACACAACTTCAATCTCATTCTGTAACACAGAATTACAGAAGGTTGCACATGGGGATTTAATATCATATCTCAACTTTCAAAAACTGGGCAGCGAAATCCCTGTACAGCTTATATGCCTCTGGATGATCATTTATACTTTTCAGAAGTAGCTCATTTACCTCTTCAGAAAAGGTTGCTGAATATATTTAGACTGTCGCTGCAAAAAAGCACTAGGGAAAGTCTCAAAAATAAGAAAACAGGGAGTGGCAAACAATCATTCTCTTCAGTTATAAAATGAGAGAATGCTGCGTGAACGAAATTATAACCTGCATTCAGATTATTATTAATGTGCTTTCCTACTATTTAGCAGCCAGAAGCAGATAGATACAATTCTTGTTGTAACTGTCAAACTTGTTTCAGCATAGGATACAGTTCCATAAGCAAAACATCAAGTACTTAGCTGTAAATAACAGAAAGAAACTTTCAGAATTACTTACCTGATTTTCTTCATGGGAAACTCTCATTTGTTCTTTGAGAACTGACATTCTGGCTGCTTCTTCTTTCCTCAACACTCTTTCTTTTTTTAGCTCAGGACTCCAGAAAGTTTTGATGCTATTCATAGAGGATCCCAGCTTGCTGTCCTTAATGTCTAGTTCTTTTCTGAGAAGATCATTCTCCCTCTGTAGTTCCTTAAGTTGAGCCTGCAGGTCTAACATGGTACTATCTCTAACCTGCCTCAGCATAGAAGGAACCTGATGGTGGTGATGGTGTGAAGATGTGGTCAGACCTCCATGCTGATCAGTGTAAGAAAGGACATCTGTGTGTGACAGTCCAGCTGAAGCAATATTAGGACTGCTCCCCATAGCTGTGACTCGACCACCATACACAGCTCGATTTGTAGCCCTTCCAAGAGTCATTGTGCCCTTTGGGAAAGTAGTAGAAGCTACACCTTCATGGTCGCTCAAATACATTGGTCCAGATGTTGCATAGGCTGCATTAAGGGACTGGATGTTCTCCATTGATAAGGTCTTTCCTGTTCCACCTCCTCCTCCACTATTTGTTCGCCTATGGCCCAGGCGAGGAGATCTTGGCAAACGAGGAGACCTGGAGGGACTTCCTTCTAAGTTGCTGATTGTTCTTGCACTTCCATACATTTTTCTTCTACTTTGAGGTACTATTTAGTAAGAAATTAGTAACACTAAAGTTGAGTATTAAATTTATAATTCCAGCTAGAAATATTGGCAGTTTCACTGCATCATTCCAGTAGGCAAAAATCTATTGTTCCTCTGAAGTCAGAGACCTGAAAAAAGATATTATAAAATTAAGTAAATTTTCATCTTGGAAAATAAGTTTAAAAGTAATAAGCATATATCAGAAAATAAAGTAACCCGCTTCCTACTATAATTACTTTAAAAATAAAATTTACTGTACATTTTGTGTTTAGGATGACTAGTTAAAAATGCATTTTCAAATTAATTTCATTCAGAAGAAAAAAAAATGCTTGTTTCCTTCTTAGTCTTACTCCTTTGACTTAGTATAACAAGCTTTATGTTGCAAATAAACACCATGGGCCCAAAAGCATATCTTAGCTGATACGTTAGTAGACTTAAATGACTGACCATGTGAAATAA